CAAGTCTGGGAGGGTTTCCTGGACAGAGGTCCTCGAGGCAGCCGCTTCCTTAAGACGTGCAGTCCTGGTCACAGCGGCCACCGCTTCTCCGACGCAGGCCCACGGCAGGGAGCAGCAGCAGCAGCAGCAGCCACAGCCCCGGCCGGTGCAGCAGCATGGAGCTTTGGGGGACCTACCTGCTCCTCTGCCTCCTCTCCCTCCTGACCCAAGTCACTGCCGAGTCGCCAACCCCTAAGGTTAAGAAGGCTGCGAATGTCAAGAAAGGTAAGGAGGGGTTGGGGCCCCTCTCTGTCTCCCAGGGAGCTGGTCACTTTCTCCTTCGCTCACCCTCAGGCTTCTTCTGGACCGAGTCCAGGGCACTTAGTGGAGTCCCCCCCCCCCAAACCCCGGGGCTTGGGAGAGGTCTCCAACAGCAGGGGTGGTTGCCAGAACTGTAAGGATCACTGACTCTCAGAATCGAAAAGAACCCTCCAGATCATCAAAATCGACATCCACCCCTCTCCCCCTTCCCCCTCAGTATTTGGGGCTTGGCAGTCTGGAGATGCTCGACTTTCACCAGAAAACTCCAGTGGGCTCTGCTTCGTAATCTCTGAACCTCAAGTTTCTCAACTGTAAAATGGGGGATTCTGGCATTTCCTCCAAAGGATTGTCGTGAGAATTTAATGACACAAAACGTGTAGTGTCCAGCCCAGTGCCTGGCACGTGAGATATACTTGATGCACGTGGCGGGGGGTGAGGGGGTGGTGGAGGGAAATCAGTTAAATCTCAGTTTTACAGTGTATCTCGGCCTTGAGGAAATAAAAGCATTCGAACTCAAACTAGGACCCCGAAAGCAGCTTTGCTTCCCCTTTGTCGCCTCTAGGGTTTGGGGTGTCCTTGGGTCGCCTTGGAGCCTTGCCTGCAGTGAGGTCACCCCAGGCTGTGTTGAGACAACACTAGCAAAATGCCATGGCAATGAACCGGGCTGTCACCCCCACAGGGCTCAGCAGGAGAGACAGTTCCAGAAAGAGCAACTGGCCGCCAGGGCCAAGAGCACAAACTCACAAAGCAAGCGAAGGGGATGAGCGGCCCTCAGGCCCCCCGCCAAGCCTCCTCTGGCAATGGAGTTGGCCCCCAGTAGTGAAGTATGCGAAGGTACTTCAGGAAGGACAAGACCCCCAGGGCTGAGACAAAGAATGTGGCAGACCTGGGTGCTGATGGCAAATAATCTCCAAGGTTCAGTTTATAAAGCGAACGAAGGAAAGTTCAAAACAGAGTAGACATCATGCCGACATTTATTTTGAAAAAGGGATTTATATAAAAATGTATATTTACTTGTATATGCATAGAATTCTTCTGGAAGGATCCACTGGAGTTAGTGATTACCTCTGGGAAGAAAAACTAGGAATTTAAGTCTTGACTGGGATGGAGACTTAAACTTTTTGAACTGTTCCATTTTTTAAAAATTATATCCATCTATATTACTTCCTAGGAAGTATTCATTAAAAAGAGAAGACTCAATACCATGCACGGTTGTGTCCACAAACATTTGCTAACATTCTCACCGAGAGATGTTTGTAGTCAAGGATGCACAGTTCCAAAGGCAAATAATAGAATTTTTGGATGCGGATAATAGTTGCTAACCTCTCAGTTTCCGAAGGTTTAATTTTCATGTATTTAACCACGTAAGTTGTGTGTTTAATCACGTGAAAAAGGAAAAGCTCAGACCAGCCAATGCCTCGGTCCACTCCAGCCGTCACACTTGAACCCTGGCTCTAGTGGTCTCGGTGCTGGTGCCCCCTGGAGGCCCCGGCCCCGGGGAGGCCAGCAGAAGAGCCCACAGCAACAATGGAGCGTCCTGGCCGGCCCCCGCCTCTCGCTGAAACCCCCTTCCATGTTCTGACTCATCTCGGTTTTTCTTTCCTCCGTCTACGGTCCGCATATGAAGCAATTTCTCCACCTAGGAGTCAATATATGCGCTGAGCACCCTGGCAGAGGCCCACTGTCTCTGCTCTTAAGATGCAAGTCCATGCCTGAGGTTCTCGCTCAGGCTCAGCATTAAGATCCAGGGGCCTGGGCTCCAGCCCTGGAGATGTTGGATGGCGGGCTGGGAGGAGGGCAGCATCTGCCTTTTCCACAGTCTCCAGGGACTGCTAGGGGCGGCCAGGACTGAGAATCACAGGAGGGACGAGCATAGTTGTGGGGCTGGTGCACGAGAGTGTGGGAGGGAGTCCAGGGGAGGGTCTCGTGCCCGAGGAGACCACTGGTGTCTGGCCGGTGGCAGAGCACGAGTTGGTGGGACTGGCATAGGGAGGCAAGGGCGGCGTGTGCTAAGCCCCCACCCTGGCCTCAGGATGGGGCGTGGAGTGGGAGAGCCCTGGGTGCCTCTGGGAGCTTGTATGCTTGCGGTGTGGGGCGAAGTCCGAGCCGGCCGTGTGGGGGTCAGCCAGAGGTGAGGCTGGCCAGGAGGAGTCGGTCGGCTGGGCTCCAGGGGCCATGTGGCCACACCTGGCCAAGGCACTCAGGAGGGCAGGATGGCCTCCTAGGTGGTCGCAGGCCGTTAGGACAGGAACTGAGGGACCTGGAGGACATCTGTTTCGATCACACACATCAGGACTCTGAGGGCCCGAGACAGACGGGGCGGCACGAGGACCTCTGGACTCCGCCGCGAGCTGTGCGGACGCCCCCGAGGACACGCCTCTCTCCCTGGAGCGCTGTCAGCGCCCGCTCCTTGGCTAGTCTGGGGGGGCCCCTTGTACGCATGCGCACCTCGATGCAAACGACAAAGGTACCCTCTGAGCTGACGGATTGTAGAAAGGCACCCCTCTCTCTGGTCTGACTCAGCGCAGCCAGGGTGAGGCTTAGGGGCTGCACATGCGCCCCCACTTGCCCCCAGGCTGAGCGCCCTTGCACAGTACCCCACGCGGCGCCCTGTCCTGGTGCATCGTGTGGCTGGGTGCAGAGCCGCTGTGAACCAGCTGAGGCGGAGACGCAGCGCGAGGCACGCGTAACCCCGCCGGGCTAGTTTGCCGGCCCCGAACCCTCCCTTTCTGCCTTGCGCGTCTTGGAGTCACGTCACTAATTTCTTATATACAACTACGGTTTTGCCTGCATGTGTTTCCTGCGGTTCCCTTGCAAAGGCATCTATCTTATGGATGCACGAAGGCTCTGACCTCACCCTTCCTGACCATGGACTTCGTGCAGGCACAGCCAAGTGGACCAGAGAAGCCCTTCCCCACGCCAAGCCGAGCGCAGCCTTTCCCGAAGCCCCTGGGATTTCAGAAAGACTGGGGTCCACCCACACAGCTCCCAGCTTCCACACACACAGAAAGACCATTCCCACCTGCCCTGCCTACTCACTCGGCGGGCTCCCAGCAAAGCCCCAGCCGGCCCTCGGTGCTCCGCAGGGCTCATGGTGGGGGTCTGTGTGCTGTCACAGAGGTGGGGAAGGGCCAGCTTGGAGCCATGTGGTCCGGGCTGCGGACCAGCCCTCCCAGCTTCTGGCTCTGTGACCTTTGGCGAGTTGCTTCAGTCCTGCATCGGTTTCCTGTCTGTAACAGACACAATACCCAGGCCACAGGGCTGACCATGAGCCCAATGCTGTTCAGATGCTTTATTTCTCTTAGTCTCTAGTTTTCTTCAGTGTCCCCTGAGGAGCGGGGGGGGGGGCTGCTTTCATCCCATTTTACAGATGAGGAAACTGAATTCAGAGAGACCGAGCAGCTCGCTGCAGGTCACCCACACCCGTGCGGCCTCAGAGCCCACGCACACACTTCCCCACGCTGCTGCCCTCGGCCCCAGGCTGGAGCTCCTGCTTCGCTCGCCCAGCCTGGGAGGCGAGGCCGGGAGGTCTCCAGGGCCCAGCCCTGCCTCCTGTGCTCTGCTCTCTTCTGGAGCTGGGAGGATGGTTGGGTGATCAGGGGTCACCGAAGGCTCTGCTTGCACCCTCGGCCCAGCCCATCTGATTCCAAGCAACCCTCCTAAACAGATGTTATCCGGGTCTCACTTGAGCAGGAGCAAGTGAAGGCTGGGTCTCCCTGGCAGAAGGACGATCACAAGCAATTACTTAGACGCCCAGCAGCATGGACAGAGAGTATACTGAGACACGAGGTCGAAGGGGGTCGCTTCCTCTCGTCCCCGTGTGGCTGACAGTGGGCAGGGTCCACCCCACCCAGCTCCTGCCACACTGTAATCCTTCCAGCCTTCCTCATGCTTGTTCTCATCTCCACTTCCTTCTGACTTCGTCCTAGACGTCGTGAGCCCCAAGATGTTTGAGGAGCTCAAGAGCCAGCTGGAGACCCTGGCCCAGGAGGTGGCCTTGCTGAAGGAGCAGCAGGCCCTGCAGACGGGTGAGTGCAGACAGCGGCCTTTGGGGGCATAGGTGCACCCGAGAGAGGGGCTCAGGCCAGCAGCCAGCCTGTGGCCTCTGGCCAGCACCAGGGCTCCAGTGGGCTCTGTTAGGCCAGTCCCTGTAGTCCAGGGCACCTGGTTCAGGGAACACTCTCCTCAGCCTGCTTCCTCTCGGGGAGACCCCCTGACATGTATGGAAGTGCGACTGTCCCAAAGGACAAAAGCTCTCCCAAGAATTCATCGTCACCCACTGGAAGTGGGACCCCTGGAGCTCCCTGTGGAGCAGAGGCCGTGGCCCACCCTTAAGGAACTCCCAGGAGACCCCCACTCAGCCAGCCCTCACAGCCCTGGGGGGCACGTCTCCTGGGCCAGCAGCTTAGCTCTCTCAATCCCCACAATTATGCCCAGGCAGGATTTATTATCCCCATTTTAAAGATGAGGAAACTGAGGCATAGAGCGGTCCAGTTCCTTGCCACGCTCACCTGGCTGGTTAGTACAGACGAGGATCTGACTGGAAAGTGCCTGCTGCTGTGTGGCGGGTGTGAGGACAGGTGGGCTTTGGTCTTCCTGGCCTGGCACGAAGCAGCCGAGCAAGGATGGACAAAGTCACGCAGCTGAGCTGCCTGTGCCAACACTGCTTGGCCAGCCTCCCTGGGCGACGAGTCTCTCCGTCTCTCTACCATGTTCCTCTCATAGCATCTCCATCTTCCACACACCTCAGCCTCACCTGCTCCGTGGTGACCTTGCCCTGGAGAACTCAGAGCATGCAGACTAACCACTGCGGGTAGCGCATGTGAGCTACGACGTGCCTGGCACTGCTCTAAGCGCATCCTCTAAGTGCATGGACTCCTCCTTCACAGGAAGCCCATGCGGTGGGCCTACTGCTCCGACCCCACCTCCCTTTTCCACACAGAAGCTGAGTGTCTTGCCAGTGGGCGACAGGAGCAGAGCCTCGCTCTTAGCTCCGCTCTGCCGCCTCTCAAGTTATCCCCAGGGAATCACCTGGGCTTCTCCTTAGGACATCTACAATCCTCCTCGTGCCCACGGCCACCCTCTCACCTGTTGCTTCTCTGACCAAGGTACATCTATCTCCTGGGCCTTGGGCCCTCGCCTCCCCTCCTGCCTCCTCAGAAATTTCCAAGTTCCTTTTCACCGAGCAGTTTTCACGCCCCCGCTCCCATTGAGAAGCTTTTTCCAGCATTCACACTGCCATCCTTCTGCCCCTCTAAGGTGTCCCACGCTGTACCTCCACCCCAGGGCCTTTGCACATGCTGTTCCGGTGGCCTGCACTGCTCCCCTGGGATCCACCTCATTTTTCTAGCGTCAGCATCTGGAGAATCTCTGATCCCTCTTCTGAATCAGGCTCCTCAGCTATGAACTCTCACAGAACGACATTCTCTCCTTTATCTCATTTTATTGTAGTTTTTAAATAATCTGTTCACAAATCCATTTATGTCTGCCTCCCCCACTATTCTGTAAGCTCAGTCCCCTAGGAACACATAACTTTGGACGCCTTAACCTGGCAGGTAAGGAAATGGAGCTCTAAAAAGGAAGAGTCCATGTTTTGGTTTCAAGTCATAGAAAACCTAACGGCGGCTTAAACCAAAAGAGAGTCTGGAAGTCGGTAGGTGTAAGTTTTTGTCCAGAAGCTTCGCCGCATGGTGCCAAGATTGCTGCCCAACTCCAGGCGTCATGAGTGCATTTAAGGCAAA